TTATATCTTTATGTTTGAAGCCTGAAATGTGGCAAAAGGTTGAAAAGTTCAAGGGGGCCGAATACTTTCGCAAGGCACTGTATGTGCAATACTCTGTGGAACAATTGAAAAATAATTTGTTTACTTTATGGTGTTGAAACCACATTGTCCTGTAGGCATCCAAGACTTATACTATGAGACTAATTCCACAGTAGTAGCATTATAGATTTCTTTAAGCTGCTTTTGTTAAGTTTCTCAAGAGCAGGGTGGTTCATTTCTGTGTGCTGACAAGTTCTCACTTGAAAGAAAGTAGGCACTATAAAGTAAATCATACTTTCCAGTTTAACTCTGTTTTTACCTGGGTGATGCATGTATTGTGGTTTTGGAGCTAATTCAAAAAAAGTGTAATTAAATCCAGTTCTTTTGTTTGTCACCGCTTTCAATCTTAGTGTAAAAACAAGACTCACCAGGAACAAAAGCGCTCTTGAACGACAGATCATTTTTCTTACCTTTCAGCTTTTCTTCTGTGTCGCTCTCAGACTCGCTGTTTTCATCCGTTACTGCAAAAGAAAAGTTAATATATGGACAAACGGCAATAGGATAGATATTCCACAACCATTTCTTTTCGACTGTCATGTTCTAGACACATCAGTGGTTCAGTGGTTGACACCTCGAACTAGAATATAAACAGAATTAAAACACTGCTTCGGGGATAGATATTTGACTTTGGCACAGCAGAAAGGCCCCAAAATGCTTGTAGGCCCTCTGGCCCTCCTGCTGCTCTTGCTGAACCGACACATACCTCTGCCAGAGCTAGTCTCCGTGGACTGCGAGACTCTCTTCATGCGTTTCTTCCCTCTGCGGGCCTCAAAAATCCCATTGATCTTCAACACAAGCTGCCAGCAGAGAGACACATCGTGAACACGACACGCATATCCAACGTATCTCAGCTCGATCAAAAAATGTCCTTAACTTCTCTGAAAACCAAGAAAGCCTCTTTTTCTCACGTAAAGATCCCAGCTTTAAATCAATAGCTCAAAACACACTTCTTAAAACAAATTAAGATTTTACAGTATATTTAGAAATATATTCTTTACAGGGCTTGCTTTTCACGATTAGTCAGTGCTGTGACTATACAACTTTCCGGCAGAGATATTTTTCTAAAAACATTTATTGAATTAGGTTATTTTTAAGAGTGGTAACCTAGGAAACACAAGCTATGAAATCTGATCAGAGCCAGCCAGAGATTACTGTAGACCTCCAGTGGCAGGAGTCCACAATACCGCATTGTACCATATTTTCCAAAAGAAATTCACGGTGACTTCAGTTCCCACCTGATTAACATGCATTTAATTAAGCAACTGTTACAAAAGAAGGCAGTTCTGACAAGTTAGACTCCTTAAACCATCGTGCCGGGTTCTGATTTTCGAGGGGAAGTGTATGGCATGCCAACATACATTCCAATCACTATGTAACTAGAGGCAAATTTTGAATTAGAGGCGAGTTATGGTCAGCAGCCATATCACCCAGCAACTCATGACTGGCAACCCACTGAAGCTCAGAGGGTGTGAGCCTGGTCAGTACCTGGATTGGAGACCTCCTGGGAAAAGCTAAGATTGCTGCTGGAAGAGAGATTAGAGGGGCCAGTAGGGGGTGCTCACCCTGTGGTCTGTGTGGGTCCTAATGCCCCAGTATAGTGATGGGGACACTATACTTTAAACTTTGGATGAGACGAAAAATCAAGGTCCTGACACTCCGTGGTCATTAAAAATCCCAGGGTGTATCTCAAAAAGAGTAGGGGTGTTACGCTAGCATCCTGGCCAAATCTCCCTTTGGCCTTTACCAATCATGGCCTTCTAATAATTCCCATCTCTGAACTGGCTTCATCACTCTTTTCTCCTCCCCACTGATAGCTGATGTGTGGTGAGCGTTCTGGGGCACTTTGGCTGCTGTTGCATCTTCCACGTGGGAGCCAATATGGTGGTGGAGCGGAGTCCCCTGTAAAGCCCTTTGAGTGAAGTGTCGGGAAAAGCGCTATATAAGTGAAAGGGATTATTATTAAAAAATACTTGCTAAGTGTTTGTAAGATTGTGATGAAAAAGCGAGGCAGCACAGTGGCGCACCATTTAGCATTGCTGTCTCGCTGTGCTGAGGCCTTGGGTTCAGTTCCTGGGGAGCTATCAGTGCAGAGTTTCCAAGTTCTCCCCAGGATCACATTAGGTTGCTCCTGGCCCTGGTGTGTGAGTATATTTCAGTGTTTGTCTCTGCGTTTGCCCAGGGGTGAACCCTGCCAGGCTCTGGCTCTCTGTAACCCAGTATTGGATAAACAGGTTAGAGAATGGATGGATGATACAAAAGTAAAGACAATGCTCTTAAAATATAAGCCTTGCAGCTCTTACCCCCAAATAGGATAATGATGTTCTTAATTTTCTACATCTCTAGTCCTGTATGCGTCAGCCCCTATTCCCTGTGCGACCCCCTTTACCTTTGGGATCTTCCGTCGCCGGCGGTTGTTGGGGTCTCCTGAGAGGCAGGGGGTGTCATCGGGGCTGCTGGGAGTGGAGGGGGGGCTGATTTTGGAGGGCGACACCCCACCGCCATCCCGGTTGATCTTGCGCAGCTCGAGCAGCTTGAAGCTGCGGCGTTCCGAGTTCTGCCTGAAGAACCCGGGTTTGGAGGAGAGCTGGGGAGAGACGTTGAGAGACCATATCCAGGCGCCGCAGACAAAGCTGACCGAGTTCTTTTGAGAAACAACGTGCAGTTTTCCTTTAACTCCTGTCAGCTGTCTGCTCATGCTTGTGGCAAGATATCCTGTTTACTTCCCTATCTCCTTTTTTAAAGAGTGTGGCCTCACTGCAAAACTTTCATTTCTATGAAAAAACCAAAATTTGCTGTACAATTGATTAAGCCTCTTCTAAAATGTCACTGAAATAAGCTTGTTGTGAGTTCAAGCAACAGTTGACCAATTTATTTTTAGGATTGTACATTAGTTTGTATCAATATGTACCCATTAAATATTTGCAGGTGTCCCCATCAATAAAAACCTGGTAATTTAATTTTACTATTAATTAATTGCTAGATTGTGATTTTGCCAGTAATATATTGGGAGTTTATCATTTATAAACTCCCACATTGTAGTCTCGAATATTCAGTATTGCACCATACCCATCTCGTTGTGATGTGATATGATATTGCCAGTACAGTGGTACAGTGATTATCATTGCTGCCTCACAGTGCTGAACCCCTGTGTTTAATTCCCGGGGTGCTGTCTGTGTGGAGTTTGCATGTTCCCCCCCCCCATGTTCACATGGGTTTCTTCTAAGTGCTCCGATTTTCTATCACAGTCCAAAGACATGCTAGTAGTTTCATTGGCTTCTGGGAATTTCGGTCCTGGTTGTGAGTGTGTGTTTGTGTCTGTGTGTGCCCTGTGATGGACCAGCATCCGATACAGGGTGTACCCTGCCCTCATGCCCATGACTTGGAAATAAATCTCATTATCCCCTTCAGATTTTATTGATCCACCAATGGATGAAGGCCTCTCCAATAATCTTCCAAAAATGTCTACTACCTTTATATTTTAACAACATGGCTAAAACAAAGAAAGAGTATACTTTCCAGACGTTACCTTTGTGGGCGTGTCTGGAGCTGGCGATGATGGCGTGAGGGGAAGGGGGAACTTGTTTCCATGGCAGCGGCTCTCCATCTCTATGTCTTCATAGGGATTTTCCTTTGATGGAAGATCTATATAGATGGAAAAAATGCAAACACTTAAGCAATGGAACAGCAGCACTGAAAACGCGAGCAAAAATAGGCTAGGTCTGTCTTCGTATTTTCACTACTTTTGCATATATTAGTACCATGGAGTACAATTTACTATAACACTGGTGTATACATGGCAAGTATACATGATATAATCAATACTTCCCTTTTGAAATAGCTTTTCTTATTATTTCTGAGTCTTCACAATTACTGGATAAGGCAATGATTGGTTTTCACTAAAATCAGTTCAGTCTATTTGTCACATGCACAAGTGCAGTACAATGCTTATTGGCATGCATGTTCCAATACAAGACATTAAGGAAACACCAAGCTAAAACACAGAACAGCAGTGGCAACAACGAAGTTAAATAGCATGCGTGTGTTAAAAGTCAACACAATGTACAAAAGAAAAACAAAACATCAGTGCGAGTCAGTGGTAGAGGCAGAATTCAGTAACCCGACAGCTTGCAGGAAGAAGCAGTCTCTGAATCTGGAGGTACACGCCTTTATGCTACTATAACGATTACCAGAGAGCAGTGGAGAGAACAGTGAGAAACCAGAATGATTGTTATCCTTAGCAATACCTCCTGCCTTCCTGAGACAGCAAGTTGTAAAGATGTCCACAACAGAGGGGAGCTGTACTCCAGTAATGGACTGGGCTGACCTGACCACCTCCTATAATGCCTTTCGGTCAGAAAACAAGTTGCTGCCAAACCACACTGCACTACTACATGTGAGTACACTTTCAGTAGCGCACCTGCAGAATTGTCTGAGGAAGTAAAGGGCGCAATTGCACCTTCTTTGTAGCTCTAGTTACATGCTGGGATCACGTTAAATCGTTAGTGATGAAGGTACCCAGGAACGTGAACCTACTAACAATCTCTACAGCCACCCCACTTATGTGAACAGGGATGTGGTCCCCACCCTGCTTTCTGAAATCGATAACTAGCTATTTGGATTTGCCGACATTGAGGGAAAAATTGTTGTCAAGTTACCACACTACAAGGTTCCTGACCTCATCCCTGTATGTCGTCTCATTGTCACTAGTGATAAATGTGTAGTTGGATTCTATACAGTGCAGAGAATATGTCTCAAGTCCACCGAAGGGCACCTAGACCTTTTATCTACAATGAGAAACATTTTGTTTGGCAAAAGAGCAAACTCCAACAGAAGAACCTCATCCCGTCCATCAAGTATGGTGGGAAGAGTATCGTAGTTTGTGCTGCTTTTCTGCCTCAGGACCTGGACTGCTTGACATCATTGAAGGAACCATGAATTCAGGGTTGTATAGCAAATTCAGAGCCAAAAGTGGGTCACGCAGCAAGATAATGATCCTAAACGTACAAGCAGATCTATAGCAGAATGGCTAAGGAAACAAAAATTATGCATTTTGGAGTGGCCAGAGCAAAGTTTAAACCCCACTGCAATGTTATGGCAATATCTAAAGCAAGTTGTTCATGCAAGGAAACCCTCACGTCACAGACCCGAAACAGTTATGCATGGAAAAGAATGCAAAATTCATATAAAAACAGATATGAGATACATGAAGTCATGTCTGCTCAATGGTCAATCTTATTGGCTTTGTGCTATACACACACAATGATCTGATTACTGTTTAGGTCTAATAGACACTAATATGCCGACTAACATTTTCTCAGCCCTGTAGATGTATACTGACAGTCAGCATGGTGGCATGACAGGTAATGCTGCTGTCTCAGTCCACGGTTTGTTCCTCCACTTTATGTGTGGAGTTTGCATGTTCTCTCCGACACCTACATGGGTATACTCCTGATGCTTAAGTTTCCTCCCCCATTCTTAAAACATGCTTGTTTGGTTTACTTCTGTCTCTAAACTATCCTTAGCAGGTATAAATATTCTGATAATGGAAAAATGTAATTGACCTGACATGAAAATACATCTTTGTTCAGCCTCACATAAAATAATACCTTACACAACACAGTATCTCAGTCTTTTATATTTTAAAATATTTGCTTTTTGAGAACTGGTCTATAACACACAAGAGGCATTGATTTATTCAAGGTTAAGCAAATATATTAGTGTAGAACAAAAAGCAAAACAGCTCACAACTGCATGGTAACACATTCTCAAACACTGTTATCAATAAATGTATGTACTTGACAGGGATTCTGGAAAATGCAAGCCTGAAAGGGTTTAAAGCTAAACATTTTGGATCTGGCCCCCGTTTACCATACAACGGGCATAAAGGAGATAAAAACCCAAACACTCTGAATGCAGAGAAGTACCAGATTGAAGAATATTCCAGTTTTGCCGTTTCAAATTGATTATGCTGAGTGTGTTGTGAAACTGTAATGGCTTTAACATCTGTCCAGCTATGAAGACTGATATACTGTAACAAACCATAAAAAAACCATGACATGTGAAGCTAAATCATAGTAAAACTTCCACAATACATGCCAGTTCCACAGCACTCAGATTTGTTCGAGTAATTACCATAAGACTGAGCTATACTAAACTTTAGGCGATGCAGTGAACCACACTAATTGTATTTTATGAAATGTAATTAAGATGGCACACTGCTTTCTCTGGGGATATTTTCGACTAGAACCACACTAACTCCGATGTACTGAAGTAAAAAAAAATTGAATTCTGTAAGCAAAACATTAATTTCACTTTTGCTTAAGTTGCTCAGCAGAGACCATTTCTCTGAGGGTTTATAAGGAAGGAGCTTGATACATCAATCACAACAAAAAAATCCCATAAACCCATGGGCTTGGCCTCTGTCTCGAACCCAAGCACACCCCTGTGCACAGACCAATTTGACTTTGAAAGTGAAGCAACAGGGTGAATTTAGACAGTGTCCCGGGTGTGATGGCATAGTCTGATCTAAAATTAACTTAAGTAATGTGTAAAAGGCTCAGGCAGAGAAGAATACTTTAAGGTACCAGACTGCTTGTTACTTCAGGGCACCCCCTCTGCAGTAGACAGTGATAATTATAAGCTGTTTTTAACATAAACTCTAGCCAGACAGCTATTTTCTTTGACCAGGGATAAAAGGAAGACAGTTAGGCTGGTAGTTTGTATTTCAAACCTCCCTCAGTTGTCCGATTTTTTTTTAAACCACATTTATTGTTTTTGCTGAGAGGCTGACCGTACAGATCATTATATAAATAACAGAAGGGTTTTTTTTGCAAGTACAGAGAAAAAAAACAGCATTGAGTACAATTTGTTGAGCATTGGTGAGGTTTCTGAGGTTTGTGAAGTTCAATACATTCTAGAAGTGGGGTAAAAGTGGATAACTTTTGGAAATTGGAAGTGGAAATTGGATGGAAAACAAAATTAAATATAAATCACACCAAGCTACTGTTTCAAATGTATTAGGTATTGTATACTAAGCACATGCTTCAAAAGATTTCTGTAATGCCACAATGCTAATCTCAAAAATTGGTTCTCTCAGTCCAAGAGAAGAGATACTTTTCAGAAAAACAAGGAGACGTACTTTTACCACCATATTCTGACAAATCATGTCATTTGCAGCTTACAAATAAACACCAAAGTATCTGAGTGGAATTTTACTGATTTTTTGGTTAATTTTGGAGCACACAGCTATTCTAAAATTACTTAATACATTCTGAATTACAGTTTAGTACAATTTATGTTTGATCTTTGTGTTGGACCTAAGTTTGGTCTAGATTTCCCCTTCAAGTTCATTGGATTGCCCGAGGACAACAGTTACAAGAGAGTAAGCACCTAAACACTTTTAAAAGCAGGTATTCAAAAATAACACCATGCCTCACAGCCTTATATTAAAGGTTGCATGCAGATTTTATTTAGACATTACCATACACACTTCAAAAAACAATGAAATAAGTTATTATGTATAATATTAATCTAAAACAAGCACACAAACAAGTACAGGCAAATACAGTTTAAGTAAAAAATATGTTGAATTCTATTCTAAAGTACTATGTCTTTATTTATTTTATAAATAAACCAATTTATGGGATGGGCAACATGATAAATCAAAATTTGATGCTAACTTGGAGGGATAAAATACTTTAGCATAAAAAAATCTTAATTTAATGGATCAATAGTAATAAGTTTAAGTAAATACTAAATTTAAGTAAAGTTTACAAACCCTTGTTGGACATTCTCACTTTCTCAGATGAAAAATTAAGGTACAGTTAAGGTACAGCCAAGGTACAGTTTTGTCACAATTTTGAAATGATCAAATACTGAGTTAATATGACATCTATATACAGCTGAAATACAATAGATTCCTGATGTCAATTTGATATTAATGAAGAAGAAACAGTCCATCAACCCTGATGTTAAGGTACTGAGCAACTTACCCAGGATGTCTTCATAGACATTCTCCTCTGATAAAGTGCGAGTAAGTGACAGCTTGGACTGGGCATACCAATCAACTCTGCATCCTTCTGTAGAGGACTGGAGGACATCCTCAAACTCGTAAGATTTCCTAAATCAATAAAAACACAGAGAGCACAAAAACATACACAAAAGATTAGGCCAAAACAAGGAGACGTGTGGCGATTTAAAGAGGGAATGTGTAAGAATCTTGGAGACTGTCATTTATTTAAATTTACAGAATTAACATTTTCTTTTGATTCGCCATTTCTTGTACAGAAAAAAAGACAGGCCTGCCTGAAACACCCTTGATCCCTCATCTCTTTAGAACTATTACTCTGTTTCCTTTCGCGGTCTTTTTTAAAGGGAAACTGCAGTCCTAATTTCTCAGACCAGTTATCAAATCTCTGTAACAAAATAAATTCATTGACGGTGTTGAAAAGCTTTACAAAGTTTCGAATTAAGCACAAAATCGTGATCTTAGGGAAAGTACTCTAAGTGGCCATGCTGTTGCAAACTCATGATCTCACTATCACTTAGAGCGAGACATGAAGTGGCCCTTCCTGCTCACTAGTCACTGTAATGACTAACGTAATGTGCGAGCGAATAAGTACAAGTTGTGCAGCAGGCATTTCCCTGCAGAAATGTGATCTGCATGAAGAGTTAACAAGCAGCATTTGCCGGCAAGATTTGTCTCAAAGTCGAGAGCAATATTTCTGCTAGATTGATAGACTTGAAGCCCGGTTGTTTACAATGTAATTGTTCACATTACCAGATGTTTTGTTGCCTCGTTCTGCATCACAGAATATGGTGCTGTGCATACCTGGAAATTTTGTGATGTAAATTGGAAGTTTTACAAATTACGGAGTACATTTTATTTCTTACAGTTTCCTTGTATACTATAATTTATAGTGGTTTGAAATGCACAGAATCAATGGTGATTTTTTTCTAACTCAAAAATATAAAAAATAGCATTGCAGTTCCCCTTTAATACTTGAGCAGTGCGCCTCCCACTCTCAGCTTTCCACTCGTTTTAGCACTCACTGTCTGAGCCTCTCCGATCTGGGTTTTGCTTGGCTGTTTCAATAGAAACAACCTGTTTTCCAGAGACAAAGAAGAGCTCTGTGAAAATTTTATGAAATATACTGTTTGACAGGTCACTTCTTTTCACCTCCACTAAAAATAAAAGTATATTTCCGACTGGCTTAAAACGGTACTTTAAAAAGGCCCAATATTTAAACAGAAATGGGACTGTTGCTTATGCAAATTCCAAGCTTTTGTTTTCCAGGAGGGAAATAATTTTGAACCTTGGTTCTGCTTCCTAGATCACTTGTAGTTACTTGAATGATTGTCAATGTCAGCCATTCCTTAACATGTGGCGAATATGTCCAAGAGCACAGGGCCAAGTAGAAGATACCTATCCATCCCATGGCTTTGCCCCCTGTTGCTATGTTACCTGTTGCTGGCATTACTCCTCTGTCGGTCTGTGCAGGGTCTCCGGCTGACACTAGGCGGAGGACAGGTGGGCAGTGGTGGTGGGGGGACTGAGGGCAATGGGGGCAGGTTCCTTCGTCCTTTCCCAAGCCCCAGGGCAGAGCCTGAAGCTGCCCCCTGTGTGTGGTGCTGGAAGGTCCGCTGAGGTTTGGGGAGAGGATTAATGGAAGGTGCCCCTGGCTCAGTGTATACATTCTCCTGGTCCTGCCTACGTCTTACGCCACCCCTCACCACGTCCAGTGTCCCAAAAATAGGCTCTGCCGCTCTCCTCTCGGCCTCCTCCTGCTCTTCCTTGGAAGGTGGGCTGAAGTAATTGCCAGGCAATACCAGTGGAGGTTTGCTGGGGCTCTCCTTCATCGCTTGCTCCAACTTTTTGATGTGGGTCAGAACGGACTTCTTATCCTGGGTGCCTTCTGCGTCTTTCCCACTGTTCCCTCTCTCTAATTTTCCCTCTTTGCCCTTTCCAGGAGCCTCTGGGGATTTAGGCCTAAAATCCCCCAGCTTGCCTGCATTCTCCTTCCCAGAGTCTTGTCTCTCCCAGCTCACAAACCTCTTATTATCTCCCCTCAGGATATCAACAGTTTTGGTCTCCTTGTTTCGCACAGTTTCGGGCTCCTTCCTAGCCATCAGAGGAGAGGACGCAGAACATTCTTTTTTACCTTCCCACTGGGATATTTTGTCTCGTATGCTGGCGTTAATTTTGAGACCAGCCACGTTTTTGGGGTGTTTATTGCTGCCAGCCAGTCCGTTCTCATTGGTCCGGGGGTCCATGGCCGTATTCTTTTGGGCAAGCATAGTGCTACGCCCCAGGCTGTCACTTAGGTTGTCCAAGGAGGACAATGGGGTCTTAGTTTCCCCGTCCCGCTGCAGGCCCTGTCTCTGAGGGACTGCAGTCGGAATCTCCCCTATCTTCAATCCGCAGCACTGAAGCCTGCAAGAAGAACAGAAATAACATTACAGAAGCTGCTCATTGGTCCTTTACTCACAAAGGAAGCTGGCCATTGATGGATGTCAGCGGGCGTGGTGTAGATATACAATTGGAGACCCTGTTTGTCATGTACTATACAGTAGATCAATAGATGGGAATATCCAAGTATGATGATCTGGGCAGGAATGTCGCTACAGATACCCTGTAGTGACAAATAATAATCTTACTGCACAGCTCTACATTCAACTTGTCCTGGGACCACCCATCCTGTAGGCTCATTCTGACACTCCAATATTCACACAGGACAATGCTCATCCATATGTAACCCATTTAATAATTACTTTGTTTGCAAGATAAGAAAGTGACAGTTATAGCCTGAATGTCTGACATTCCCTTTGGTGGGATAAGCTGGAACATTCTTTTCCAGACGCTACAGGAGCAATAGAGCAAAATCTCTCGAGACATCATCTGAAACATGGTACAAAGCATGTAGCAGCACACACCACTAGATCGGAATTTTCATAGCAGATCCCTTTTTGATAAGAAATCAGAATGCTAGTTTAGCTGACAGTTCAACAAAATGCCAGTGCTGGTGCTAAAAAAGCACCAGCACTTTTCCTGATAACGTTTAGAATTTGTTGTGGTCATAAGCGGTACATTAAGTGCTTGTTACTCCATACCTGTTGCAAAATATCATGCAGTGCACTTTGATGAAGAGTTCTTGTGAAAGCCACAAGAATTTCATAAACAATCTATAGATTTTATTAAGGGTTATTTATAAGTCATTTGCAAACCTATTACCCCACAATTTGTATCTTTATATGCTTTATAAAATATATGCCTTATGTGCAATATATTTTAACCCTGGAGCAATGTGGTGAAGCAACTGTATGCTCCATCAGCTTATACCACATTCTTTTTTCAGGAATACTGTCATTTTAATATGAGGTATTGAAAAATAATTAATTATATACATTTTTCACCTCTCCTGTCATTTCACAGCTCTGCATGGCACTCAGCCACCAAATACAAGCATTACAAAGTGAATGCTTTGCCTTATTAGGACCACCACATTGATCATCCACAACCTCTTTAGTTTCCAAATGCAAACTGGCATATTGAACTAAAAAAAAGCTAAATATTGTTTATTATGGGGGTTATTTTAAATCATTCATTTACCCATCAGATTGAGATGCTTTGATAACATTGTAACCTTTTTTTACAAAGATCTTGATCCATTACAAAGATACCCTCACTCACACAAAATATCGAGGGTGTGTGATTCTATTATAGCTAGTGACTACAATACTTTCTTTGTTGGATTATTTTTGATAATTTTCCTGAACACGCAAACAATGGCCTGTGATGTCATACAACAAAAACCTAATTTTAAAGGGGTTCCTGGGCACACCAGAGGAGAAAACTATGTCCCCCTGAACACAGTGCAGAAGAGAGAAACTCCTTGTTAGTTTTTATTTTGTAAAAAATGAAAAGTAGCAAGAGAAATTGAAGAAGTGAAAGAGTAATACTGAAAACCTAAATAAATTACTCTTGTGTTTTGCCATGAATACTTTCTTTTCACAAAACAATAGATGACACACATGCTGTTAGTTCCATTTAACCTTATTCACGGAATGAGAAACATTAATTACAAACCCACACAAATTAAACATCTTATGGACATAACTGTATCTTTCTATGGGGTGCATTTGTTGTTTAGTGTCTCCCTTTGTTGGACATTTTTGCCATTTTTGAAAGACAATGGCATTTGGGAGCAGATCAGGTTTATGTGAATTCCCTCTGTGTTTTTGTAACCAGTGTTTATTCAAGACATGATGACCATACTGGATTGGAAATCTAGGTCAAATGCTTCAGCCAAGAAAAAGAGGGGAGGGGACAATTGGGGAGAGAAGGCAATCTTCTTTTCAGCAAAAAAAAAAGACTGTTTAGTAAAAGAAAAGTCCAGCCCACAAAACAGATGTTGTGGGAAGGCCAACTTTCCCTGTGAGTAAAGGGCCATAACAGGAGAACTACCGGGAGTCGAGGTAGAATGGGCATAGGATTTGAGAGCAGCTTAGAGTCGATACTCAAGAACATTTGAAAAAATGGTCTTTTGCTTGGCCTTTTTAACTCCAATCTAAGCCAACCAAACCAGTCCAAAATTGTGAATTACACACGAAAGATAACATAAAATGGCAATGGTGTTTGGCTATAGGCTAAATATCAGAATTTCTCCTATAACATGATTTTCATGTCTTTATTTGAATTTGTATTTTGTGTTGGTATTGGCCAGTTTCTTAATGTGAAAACATTACTTTAAAAGCTTTGTAGAAGCTGTGATGTTCCCCTTCTGTCATTTTGTTTACTTTTGCCATATGTTTTCTGTAGGACTCTGCAGTTCTTCACAAAATCCCAAATCTTCCCAAAGCAACAAAGCAGGAAGTGGCAGAAAATTCTCAGTGTCAACCCAGGCTTCTGTACACAGATGAACTTCAGAGCACTGTGTTTTGCTAGTTCGCATTCCCTTGCAGTGATCTCTCTGATGACAATGTCCTGAAGATATTTTTGGAGAAGAAAATTCTATTGCAAATAGGAAAATAACAGAAAAGGCAACACCTCCTTTTTCAATACCCAAAACATGATTTGATAATAAGCAATTATAGAATAAATAGAAGATTTGAAGCATTCCAGTTAGGAGAAGGACATTTTTTGTCCAATTGGTGTACATTTTTACCAATATAGTAGTTTTTAAGACATATTGGTATTTATACTGTATGATATCATCATCAGATATCAGTCTTGAAATTTGCACATTATTTTTCATTCTCCCATTTTAAATCCCCTCTCAGAATATGACTGCACCTTTGAATCTGTACGTAATCGAAGAGAAATGTTTCTTTAAAAGAATGGCTTTGGCCCTTATTATCCAACTAAACTCCGCAATTTACTGCGTCAAAGTAAAAATCTGTCTGGAATGCCAGCAGTGTCTCAGCCCCGAATTTGTAGTCTGCGTACCATCTGAATTCGGAATAGCCCTCTTATGTTGGTCAGCTGAAGGCTGCTGGCTTAGAGTTTAGAGTTCCCAGGGTTTTTGAAATTACAGTAAACAAGGATTTTCTGAAATCTCCCAAGCCAACGAGTGACATTAGCTGGGCACAGGATGCCAATGCAAGAGCCAAACACAGGAGCTAGAAACCCAGACTCGTTAGGCAGATCTCACTGTTGGGGGTTGACAGCGCCGGACAGCTGAACTACTGTGGTCATGAAAAGCCACATTAGAAGCACTGTGTTGGACAAGCTTTCAGCTGTGGTCACAAAGCAGCATGTCAGCGGGCAACACTGGCAGGAAGGATGTCCCATATGGTTGCAGAGGCGGTACTGTCCAGTGAAAAATCCCAGAACTCAGGCACTACTGCAGTGGCTTCCTAATTACAGTGTGTGACAAAGCAAATGTCAGCACAAGAGTGGTGACAATGGTGGGTAGTACAGTGTCTAGCATTGCTGCCTTGCAAATGCTGATGCCCTGGGTTCGATTCCAGACCTGGGGCTCTAAACGTGTGGAGCATGCATGATCTCCCTGTGTTTGCGTGGGTTTTCAACAGAAAACCCCAGTTTCCTCCTGCAGTCCAGAGAATATTGGGAGGTTAATTGACTTCTGAGAAAATTGGCCCCGGGTGTGATTGTGTCTGTGTTTGTCTTTGTGCGCTCTGCATGGGACTGGTATCCGATCCAGGATATATCCTGTCTTGCTTTCCTGGATAGGCTCCAGCTCCACTGTGATTCTGATTTGGATGAAGTGATAAGTAAATGGATAGATGGAGCTAATTACATAGTTACATTGGGTTTCCCACACTGCATTACAGGTTTCTGCAGTACTAGCAGAAAACCTGCTCTCTCCTGTTACATAAGCTATGAGCAACATATCCTTACACTTATATAGAGCTTTTCTTATTTCTTTTTTAATATATATTTCTTATGTATTAGTTTGTATACATAATACATAATATTAGTATGTATTATGTGTATATATTCTGTGTAACAAGGTTACATGTTGCTTCTTTAAATTACTTTAATTATACCTTATATTTCTATAGCACTTTTCTGGACACTCCACTCAAAGCACCTTATACTGTAGGTAGTGGGGACTCTACTCCACCATTACCAATGTGCAGCCCCACCTGGATGATGCACAATATTAACAAAGTATTAGTATTCGTATTAACATAATTACATAGTTTAGTAGCATTAATTAGCATTGCCAATTTGAGTTGAACAATCAGTGAGAATAACAAAAAACTCGCATGAAAATAAGACTGGTCAATGCTAGTTTATATCTTAACACAAAGAAAGCAGGAAAATCATATTAGTTGTGCTGTATACATCATATAGGTTAAAGGTTGAGCTACTGGGCAGCAATATCCTGACAGCCTTATAGGAGTTCTTCTTATTACTGTAGCTGACATTGTTGGATACTTGGGAATCAATATTTAACCAGAAAACTACTCTTGGCCCATTCAATACATCCATTTTACTCTTGGTTACCTTCATGCTATAGAAACGCAGTAAAACCCAATAAAATACAGGACAGTTGTAGTATCCCACAATATGGCCACAATGTGCCATCTCTTTAAAAATCATAAAGAAACTTACCATAACATTATACTACTGCAACATATTATAGCTCTTATTTCAGACATTTAGTGCTAGATGATGCAATTAAGCTAAGAATCTGTTAAAGTCTTAACAGCTTTTCTTAGGGACTATTCAAGAAACAGCTTCTTACTTATGGTATTTCCCTAATCAATACCCCTTAAACATCTTCAGATAATTGACTCCTAGTAGTTTCATGGTGAAATTATCTTTAGCATTATCGTGGTGCTTTTCAGTTTCTTCAGTCTGATCCCAGAACCTTTCCTAAAAGGCATGGTGTTGTAGTCTGTGCTGCATTCTAGCAAAACTACAAGGAAATAAAGTTCCCTTTGAAAAAAGACCAAACGCTATTTCATCTGAATGCACTTCGATCACCTCTAGCACGTCTTCACAATTTCTACCCGAGTTTGGTTTACTTTATCATAAAAGGGAGCTCTGAGGCTGTTGCTTCCTTCTGTCACTGATTTCGCTCAACAAAAACTCACCACGTACCAGTGCGGGGGAAGAAAAAAAATCCCCACTCCTCCCATGCTCACATTGCCCTTACCCGTTCACAGATTGGTAGATGCAATTTTCAGAATCCCGACAGAGCAGTAGCACCCTACCGCCAGTCATGGTGTTAGCAGCAGGCATCGTCAGCACACGCCTATGGGTACAAAACAAAGAGAGAGATATAGGTCAGCCTTACACTTACGGTCATATTACCCAGCCTGTGTTTAAGGTCTTGGGAAAGAGTATCATTTAAGTACCAATACTGCCACACATTTTGACGTCCCGATGGGTGGTACAGTACAGGCACTAAATTGAACCCTATGGAAAGGATGTTGATGTTGCTTTATAGTACTTTACAAGCTACACAAAATACATACAGTGCACAGCCCACATTTACACTCGGGCCAATTTTTCCAGAAGTCAATTAACCTACCCATATGTAACTGGACTGTGTGAGGTAGCCAGAGCACACAGAGGAGACTCATGCAAACACAGGGAGACAGCATCAGGTCAGGAATTGAACCCAGAGTCTCTGCACTGCCATCTAAAGTAAATAATTGCCAATGATGGTTTTCAAACTAATGTGCAAAAGCTTACATTTAAAAGCCTACATTCTTTCACTTGTACATTAAAATATATACAACCAAATTCTACCTCAGTTAGGTGCTGGAAAACAATCAGTATATTATCAGACCCCACCATAACAGTTACAGTTATGTAAAAGTACAAATGGAAGAAACCTCACAGGATTCAAAACCACACTTTAATTCTGTAAAGAGTGGTTTATAGAACAGCAATTATTATAACAAGTGATGGAAAATGACAGTCAGCATTTGGCAAGCCACATTGATGTCTGAAAAAACACCAAGTCAATCTCAATGTAAATGCATTTTAATAACTGTGGAAAGTCAAGTGCATTATATACATATTAATTCTGAACCACATCCAGCCCTCTGCAGTGCCAGTTGGATAAAATGTTATTTGTCCTTCAAAGCAAAGTTATTCTTCAAACACATGGAAATTGTGACAAAGTACAAAGTGCCTCTGACATCAGATTTGTAGATCCAATTAAACTGATGTGATGTGTAACATCACCAATAACCTCTTAAAAAGTTGCTGGGGCACAGTGATGTGTTAAAACCAATATAAAGTGATAAAACAAGATTCCAGAAATGCTCTCACCAGAAGTCAGTACAGAAACTTTAAAGGACACAAAAAAACATATTGGTGTTTCTGGTGCTTGAATTTTTTTTTTTTGAGTCAAATGGAACACCTCTGAACTAAATAGGTTTATACAATGCTTATAAATATATGGCAAAGTGTACTCCTTTATCTTTGGATCTAGAAAGCAAAACAACAGTTTGCATTCTGTAGGCATGGAGTCACTCTTAATGAGTTTTTCGCATGTTGCATCCAAAAATGCAAAATGGAAAGTGAAGATATACTACAGCTTCTCTTTATGCCAAGTGTTTTTCACAGATTCAACTTTGGGTTGTTGTATAGACATTGTTAGCATGTCAAAATGGTACCCAATCCAGAACTTGCAACTGGGCAGTGCAGCAACATCACCTTAATGTTAGACTGTGATTGTGACGATGTTGTAAAGAATCATTTTAAAACTGCAAAATGTACAATTAACAATGGTGTGACATAATATAGTGGTGTGACATACCAGGACATTTAGAAAATACATCAAAAGCACTGTAAGCAAATGCAAATTGATATACTATCAAATGGTGACATTACTGATCAGTGGTGTGTGAACATTGTAACAATGTAGTTCACTTACAACATAACAGAATTATATAAAACTGAAGAGATGGTTTAACAACTATAATTATAGCTGTTATTGTGACAAATGTAGTTTGACAACTATATAACACAATTATAGTGTGACAAATGCCAGCATACACACCCTAATTCCAGCCCTGCAAAAGTATCACCTTATCTTTATGTGTATTAGGTGGTCTGTCTTTATCTTTCTGAGCCCATCAAAGAACTTAGTATTTTAATAGTATTTTCTTTTCAGGGAACACAACATGGTCCTCTTTGTTCTAGGTTGTTCTTTAATTTGATATACTCACAAATGTCACTAGATCATCACATTTACCCTTCATATTTTGCCTTCATTAATCTCCAGACACTAGAGTATTCACCTGATTAGCTCACAATCTTGCTTCACTAGTAACTTCAACACAATTGGACATTCAAGTATTCAATCAGATTAATTCTGTTCACCACAATAACCACTCCAACACTTCACAGATACACTTCACTGTACACGAGAACCAAACTCTACCAGCAACTCTTCTGGTCACGAACTTTCAGTGGCTGATCCTGTTTGGCCACGGACTCCACTCTGTATGTACCACTTGTGTTCCTGACAAAGGAGCAGGCAGTTTGCTTTTTTCTATCTCAGCCCTCTGGGCCTTCCACTCAGTGTGCAAGAACTCAGAACTCAACCTGTGCCATTCTCTATCTCCGCTTTGAGGAGAAAGTATGATGCTATCTTGCTACCAAACAATTGTTCCCTCCTAACCCCTACCTGGACAAAGGAGCAAACACTTCGTAAAACAATTTACCTAACAGCAAATATACCTTTTAATTGTTTACTTTTATTGAATACGTTCCATGGGGTGACAGTCCAATGTGTTGACTTTATCAATGCTCTTGAGGATTTTGAATACTTGCAATTAGTTATTTTAGCCTGTCAATGGATAACATTCTTTTAGGACTCGTAATGTACAGAGAAAATCAATAAACCAAAATGAAGACTACAGAGGTGTATACTCAGGAAAGCAAGCAACTAGGATGAAAGTAAAGAAAATTCAATTTAGATCCATTGAAGAGAGATTGGGCATCTCAAAAGCCACAAGACGGAATGTCTTCATGAATAAAGAAATTATACAACTGGTAAATGACCAGATCATCAAAGGACGACGACAGCAGTTGATGACAGAAAAACTCATTTGAGCTGAGAAGAGAAGAGGTTGCAGACAATCTCAAGTGTCCAGGTGTCTCATTTCACTGTGCGCCGTAGACTTTCAAGGTTTAAGCTACAACATGCCAACCTCTCACCAGCACCAAAAATAGAAATACCAGCGCAGAATTTGCAAAGAAGTACAAAGATGGGCCTCAGCAGCTCTGGAGTTTTACAGACAAATAACATGCAAGATAAATCGGAAGCTAAGTGATGGAAAGGAAAAAATGTGAACAAAGAAAAACATCAAAGGATCCTCAGCAGAAGTGAGAACTTTTGAACTGATTCCTATTGATCATGCATGTTATTTGTTGAAGACAAAAACTAGGTCATTTGGTCATTTAAAATTGCAGGTTGCTTCTCAGAAAGAATAGGAGTATTAATAATAATAATAATAATAATAATAAACTTGATTTGATATAGCACCTTTAAAGGTGGCTTCTCAAAGCGCTTTACAGAATGACAACAACAATAAATAAAAAGAATACACAAGATAAAACACAATTACAATATACAGAGGAGACCATGGATTGTGGTACTAAGAAAAGCAGAGGGGTGAATAATGGAAGTAAAGGCTCTTCTAAAGAAGGTTTTGAGTCTGGATTTGAAGGAGTTTAGAGAAGGAGACTCTCTGATATCCTTGGGGAGAGAGTTCCAGAGCTTGGGGGCATAACAGGAGAAGGCCCTGTCACCCACACAATGTAGACGGGCTTGGGGGACAGTTAGGAGACCAGAATAAGAAGAGCGAAGGTTGCCCCGGTGTCCTAGCCACATTTCCCCCTGGCCTTTACCAATCATGGTTTCCTAATAATCCCCATCTAAGAAATGGCTTATTTACTATGTTCTCCTTCCCACTGATAGCTGAGCTTTCTGGCACACTTTGGCTGTTGTCGCATCATCCAGGTTGGTTCTACCACCAGATCACGGTGGGGGAAGGGGAGTCCCCATTACCTGTCATAGGACCCACAAAGAAACAACAGTGGCTGCAGTTAAGGCTAGTCAAAGCATCTCAAACAAAGTTCTCTGGTGATGTGCAGTAGGGTGCAGAAGTGAAGCAGTCGTTGCATGTGACCGAATATTTTACTTAAAAGATTTACACTAGTTTAGTTTGATTTATCTTTATACTTATGTTCAGCAGATATGGGGAGATTGTATACAACAAACGACAATGTTCCCACATGTATGCAAAATTATATCCAGAAGCCAAATCAGAAATGACACACTTTTGCAAAGATATTAATCTTTTGATCTAAAATCTAACATATATATTTTATTAGTACACAGCATAAATGACAAATGTCATGTATTGTTGCAATACATAAGCTTTTCACTGTATCTGCTTGCTTTTCTCTGGACAGATTCCAGAGCAACCATATCTTTGTTGTCATATTATGACCAAAATTGTGTAGAATATCCTCAAGGAGATCTTACTAGCGCACTGTACATTTACTGTATAATATAACATCCCTTTGGGCGGTGATGCAGTGTTTAGTATTCCTGCCTCACAGAACTCGGGCCCTGGTTTCAATTCGAGACCTGGGGTGTTGTCTGAATGGAGAATACGTTCTTGTGGGTTTCCTCCGGCGGCTCCGGTTTCCTCCCACAGTCCAATGACATACTAGTAGGTGAATTGGGTTGTGGAAAAATCAGCCCTGGTGACGGACTGGCATCCCATCCAGGGTGTACCCTGCCTTGCACCCACTGCTTGCTGGGATAGGCTCCAGCTCCCCCATGTCCCTGAATTGGAAGAAGGGATTAGAAAATGGATGGAAGTATAACATCCTTTGATTCAATTCTATGCTTTAACAATATATCATTATTATAGATTGTGTTTTCTATTGCTTCTTCATGCTGAGTAAAAGTAAATGATGTCAACATGAACTCTTGTCATTTTCATAAGAGCCCTCTTCAAGATTGGTACTTCCTATTTTTTGCAGCTTTTGTTTATGTTTTTGTTATTCAAATGTAACATTTTCCACTTGTCTACTTTAAATGTTAACTGTCATGTTTGCCCTGTCTTTAATTTTATCTAAATCTTTTGGAATTTCATCTGCTGTTTCTACAATGTTAAATATTGGCATGGTTGCAAACATGACTAATTTCCAAACTTTATCAGAATCTAGATCAGTGAACTTTTATATATATTAGAAGAGCAGTGGTCCTAGTACCATGGT